ATCCACCTGGGTATGAGTCGCCTGCTTCCAGTCAGAATCTGGATCGTATGGTCCTCTGACGCCTGGAAGATTTCCCAGCACAAGGTCATAGAGGGGTTGATCCATACAAGCCACTTTCAGCATCCCTGTGAAGTACAGCGTGTTGACTTGTACAATAGCTTCCGGGAGATGGCTAGTTGACCTGTCTAGGAGAACGACACTGATTTTCTTGCCTGTCAGGCACACATCAGGAACGAGCTCCCGTCGGACGATTGCCGTGTTGCATCCCGTATCGCGTAAGACTCGAACCTCTCTTCCTAGCAGCAGACCTTCGACCACTGGCATCCCGTCGGCCAGGAAACGTATTGTACCCTGCACGTTCTTGTCGTCGTGGTGACTTGAGCAAGGAATCTTCCCTCCTGGACGCTTGGCTGTTTTTCTAGCACCAGCCCGGGCAGAGTCAGGTTCGCTAAATGCGCACGAAGAACTCGGTTTGTTGTTCCCATGCTGGTTTCGGCAAGTTTCTGTGACATGTCCCGTTTTACCGCACAACTTGCATTTCAGCATCTGCTTAGGTGGATTGCGGCAGTCAGGAGCCAAATGTCCGAAACGATGACACAGGATACACTTGAGTTGCGGTTTCCGCGACGCTTCGGTAGGCTTTCCACTGGATTCTTTCGCGGGGTCAGGACCTTTTCCTATATTAGTCAAATTCTGCGCCTCAAGGAAGCGATCCGTCAAATTAGCGAGTTCATCTAGTGACTTGCACTCTCGCTCTTTTAAGAAAACAACCAGCTTTGGATGGCAACAACGCAAGAATTGCTCAGAGATTACGTGATCCCTTAGACCTTCATAGGTTTGGGATACGTTTGCCATGTCTATCCAATGGTCGAAATAACTGGTAATTCTTGCTGCTAACTGTCGTCCAGTTTCACCATCTGCTGCTCGTGCTTTCCGAAACTTATCTTGGTAACATTGAGCCGTAAACTGAAATCTCTGCAGTAGAGCTTTCTTTACTTTTTGGTAGTCCAGCGAATCAGCGGCAGTCATTCGGCCTATCACGGTTAACGCGTCACCCGTTAGGCACAGGCTAACAGCGAGACCCCATTTTTCTTGCGGCCAATCCTGTCCTGTGGCTACGCGCTCGAATCGCTGCAGATACGCGTGCAGATCATCGCGTTTCTCGTCAAATACAGGCAGTAACTTCTGCGGATTGAGGGGTGAGGAGGTGCTGGGCGCAGTCAAAGCGTCATTAGCTGCTACAGGCATATTCTGAGCTCCTTCCTGAAGCTTTACCTTAAGCTGCAGAATTTCACGCTGCCTCTCGTCAGCTTCTTTGGCTGCCTCTCGCTCTGCAGCTCTCTCATCCCTTAGCTTAGCCTGTTGGGCCTCAATCCACTTGTTTAGCTCTGCACCCGAGAACCCTAGTTGGAGCCCTATAGCGGCGAGTTTTTCCAAGTCCATGGTGCAGTCTGAACGTGTGTCTGCCTCGAGCGAAACTGTCTTCTTTCACTGGTTTAACGAGCGGATCCTGGCAGGCTCGCCAGTTTGTGATGTTATTGGGGCAGGACCGCTCCAGAAAGAATCAGACAGCACGCCAGTGCACAAACACACGTCCAACTTCTATTGTACCCTTCACACATGGACAACCCACACATTACGAAGTTCCTAACACAAAAACACGCGGCGAAACTAAATGAATAAGTAGAACGTTCTGCCTACAGTTCAGGTCGTCGGGGTAGTAGCCTGGGCCGTCGTTGATGCCCCGTCGGCACCATTCAGTGGCGAAGTCGACGTTGGGCGGCGTCGTCATCTGCAGTGACGAAGTCGGGAGACGCAGGGTCGCCGCGTCGAACTCCAGTGGCTCAGCGCCACTGTCGACGAACTGGAGCCGACGACCCACGTGTTCCGGCGGCAGGGAGTTGTGCCCTTTAGCACCTGCAGTCCGCCTCGGAAACCCACGCCAGCCCTCCTGGAACAGCGGCGCAAGGGCAGGTTCAGGCACCCGGCGCCAGCTCTCCACGACCAGCGGGACAAGGACAGGTTCAGGAACCTGGCGCCAGCTCTCCTAGACCGGTCGTCTAGCGGAGGCTGAGCTGTCCACTCGGCTGGTACGAGTGTCGCGACGTGGCCTGGGTCGTACCTATGGGCCAGACGCCCAACGAGGTAGTCCTGCCTCGAACGACGTACCTCGCGCACTGCCGAAGGCACGGGTCACGCACCCTCGAGCCCGCGCCTCACGAGGTGTCGTCTTCCTCGTAGGCACCGCACGGCACATACACGCACACATCATATCCTCTTCGCCACCGCACGGCACACTATTGTCGTTTTTTTTAGTTTCTGTTTCGCGTCCGCGCAGCACATATTATGACAACACTCACTCTATCATCAGTGTAGATGGTGAATCTAGCCCCCGTTCAAGGTTTTCTGCTACCTTGCTCATAACCAAGTTCCTAAAGTATATCCCCGTGGAACAGTTCTATCCAAGTAATAAATATTCGGGCTTCACCCAGCCGATGCACGGCTTAAGCGATTGTGCCGGGCTGCAAGGAAATTTCTAATCCATGTGTGCGCACGCTAACTTGGGTAGTGCATAGCTAGTTTTTCAAGATTGGCATTATGGGGAACATTATCAAACGTTTTCTGCATGTCGACGGCCCGCAAGTCGTCAGGTAGCATCTTTCGTGATGTGCGATTAATAGCGTGTTGTAGCAGCTGAAGGCAGCCATGGGTGCCCAGGTTAGGGCGAAGACTCGCCTGGGCTGGATGGTATTCCAGCCGGGTTGTCTCGGGGTAATGGAACATGCGTGTGTGAATCATGCGTTGACGTTAGAGATATTGCCCGGAGGTTCTTGCAGTTCTCTTTTTCATGCTTCGCAATGGGATAAATGAGAGACAGCTTAAGGTTCGCCTGTACATTTCCTGAGACCCACAGATCATTGATTACCGGCAAGAGTGCGTCCTGGGCGTCTTCTACAAGGTTGCGGAGTTCTTGCCATGTGATTCAGTCTTGACCAGGTACCGGTCGAGGGCGGCGTGTTTGATAGCTGCTAGCATTTTTCCCATGCTAAATGGGCGATCAGGATACGGGTGCAAGCATTCGGAGGTGCAAGTGAAGGGAGTGAAGCGTGGAGAAAGAAAATTTTCAAGTGAAAGATATTCTTTGCGGAACATCTCGGCACACTTAGCGCGTATCTATCTATCTATCTATCTATCTATCTATCTATCTATCTATCTATCTATCTATCTATCTATCTATCTATCTATCTATCTATCTATCTATCTATCTATCTATCTATCTATCTATCTATCTATCTATCTATCTATCTATCTATCTATCTATCTATCTATCTATCTATCTATCTATCTATCTATCTATCTATCTATCTATCTATCTGTCTGTCTGTCTGTCTGTCTGTCTGTCTGTCTGTCTGTCTGTCTGTCTGTCTGTCTGTCTGTCTGTCTGTCTGTCTGTCTTAGTTGGACAAATATGACTCGCTTGTCATTGAATGAATAATATCAAAATTCCGTCACGTACGTCGTCAAACCTTTTCCGACAGATGTGTGGCACATACCAGCTGATGAATATGTACTACAAGTGATTGACAGTTTATATCTACCCAGAAACGGTGAGAACAAGCATAGGTTTTTTGAACGCGTGAGTATTAATAAAAAAGCTGACATCGGCAGCATTGACCCGATGAATGCAAAGAATAATTGTCAGGGTCCCAGCTGGAATCGAACCCTAGCATTTGACGTGACAATCAAGTATTCCATCATGGTCTCGAAACTAGTTTTCAAATAGACGCTAATGTTCGTGAAACGTCAGTTGTGCTTGCAGTGTGTGTAATCCAATATTATATACATTTTATAAACATGTGCTCCTATGATACAGCCATCACGTCACGTTGATGTTAATTGTAGCTCGGTGCCATCCCTTAAGATTGATTACGCAGCAATGTCCAGGGGTACCATCTTCACGAGCACCAGCGCTTCATGTCAGCTTGCCGTTTCTGGTCTTGCTAAACTCCATGGTACTGTCGGTCGTGGTATCGTTACGAAACTGTAAATATCTGGTCATATAAAAGATGTGCGGCTGTTCAACGTATGTGGGTGCATCGGTACATATCTTTAGCACCACTTGGTAACGTTTTGTTTATTAAAAAAATCAAAATATAGTGACCTTCCATTCGCATACATCGCATATTTACATACTTATCGATTCCCAAGGTATGCGGGATTTGCTTAATTTTCTTATTCTTGAGGGTTCTGCACGAATGAAACGAGCGCCATTAAATGGATCTGAGATAGCTGCGTGGTCGAAGCTTACATGAACTTCGGAAACGTGCCGCGAATACGCCAAACTTGCAAGTCATGCTAACAACCAATGTTTCAAGCCAAACGGCGGCGCCACAGAGCGAAGCAATGTGCGGCTTCGAGTCGCCACCTGTTAGGGCGTTGCGATCGTCACTCACCACCGAAAATGCGGAGGACGAGTTGGACACTGCATTTCCAGGGACAGCTTTCAGGGTTAATCAATGCGCGTTTGATTTGAAGAAGGGAAAGCAAGAGGAGAGGAGAAAGGATTTGGAGGGAAGGCCACTCGACGGCGGAGGGTCGGTCAGTGAGCGGCCGGCGCGTGGAATCGTTTACGTCGTTTCTATGGTGATGGAAAATAATCGAGCCGGCAGCACCACAAGTGGCTCCTTGGCGAGATAGGTGAACCGATCGGCAGGCGCCATTCCGCTGAGACGCGCGCGGCATGTGACGAAAACCGTCACCGTGGCCTCGCAAGAGGACGAGGTCCTCTGGCTTTTTTCCTTACCTGACGACAACCTCACGTGAATTGGTTGCTGGTTCGTCTGTGGCTGTTGCGTCGCACGTCTCGTCGGCTCTTCTGGCGGGATTCGTACGCGGCAGTGATGCGGCCTCTATAAAACGATGCGCACGCTGAAGCCGGCTTCTTCTGTCCATCTTCACGTCACTTGAGCTAGCCCGGGACGGCGCATGGACCGGACAGGATGGACTCCGCCGGAGAACGGGTCGCCAAGGTTCCACGGATCCGCAAAGTTAACAGCACGCATTCGCGCTTCCTCGCCGAGGCTGCCCAGCGCAAGGCGCTCATGGTCACCTTCTACGCCAACGGAGATCCCTTCTCCTCGGGCACCAGAGTGTCTATCAATCCCGGGCGCGACTTCAAGACAATGGAGTCACTGTACGACTACATATCGCAGAGACTGGACGTCAGCAATGGAGTTCGCGTCATCTTCACCCTCGATGGCAAGAAGGTTCCTTCGCTGGAAGAGTTCGAGGACGGTGCTTCGTATGTGGCCTCGGGAACACGATCGTTCGCTCCGCTGGCGTACGGCCAGGCGCGCAACCGCGTCTTGCAGCGCGCGGACGAGGAACCGACCAGGCTGATACAGCCGGTGGGCCAGAAGAAACTCGCCAAAGCTGGCTCGGTCAGCCTGCCTGGCTCGGGTGGCAGAGACGATGGCCGCGTCATTGATGTCGTCAGCAGCCTGGACTCGGAACACACGAGTCGCGTGCTGCTGAACCTCAAGACTACGCAAACTTTCGAGGAAGTCCTCAGGGACCTCGGAGGTGCCCTGAACATGAACGGCGTCAAGAAAATGACTACGGACAAAGGGGAGGTGGTAAGCGAATTCTATTCAAATTGATTAACCAGACAGGTCGCTCCAAGCATCTTTTGTGAATGAAAAACGTACTTGGAAACTAGTGAGACAGGACTACAGACCATCTTCTTAACGGAGTACAATGCGTAGCAGCGCGCCGCTACTATTGGCGTGAGATAGGGTTGCGGGTTACCCAGCCTTTTCTCACCCTTGCTAGCGTAATCCAGATAAGCGTGCGCAACCACACTTCCTGTTGTAACTGCTTTCTGTGTGCGGTGACCGCCTTTTGCAAATGCCAGAGACACCCTTTCAGGACCAAACACGCGAAAACTGTTGGCACAAAAAGAATTTCAACAGAGTAGGCGTGTTCAATTCACTGAAGCGCTCTATCTAAAGCAACTATGTATTTATCGTTTGTACGACTCCGTCACGACCGAAAAGCAGTCACTGTAGTGGGCTGTTGAATTTGTGACATATCACTTAACAAAGACCGCCCTCGTCTATGACGTGACATTCAGATCAGATGTCTTGCCTAGGAAGGTTGCGACGGCAACCAGTGCGTGATTGGTCACATGTGTTGTGGTACACTTTACCAGCGTTTTACTGTTTTCAAACGACAGCTAGTAAGCGCACTGCGTAACACGACTTCCGTCGGGCATTATAGAAAGTGTTCGCTTCATATGAACTGCGTTTCCTGCGGTGAACACATTTGTAAGCTAAGTAGCATGACAGGGCGCACTCACTTAATGAATTTTTGTATACACCTTGACTTTGCCATATACCCGAGTTATGATTTAAAGTCATGGGAAGAGGGCATACCTTCTGAGTTAATTAAACGCTGAGGCTTATTACAACATTAGCCATTTTTGCATATCTAGGGGTTTAATTTATGGACTTTATTTTTCTGCTACAAGAAGGGTTACTGCTAAGTTATCATCTAACGTGAATGCCAACGGTGCGTCGGATACCTTTTGGACTCCAATATGTGTGCTTATTAGGCTCAAGATATGCGCGCGAATAATCAAAGTGTAGAGACGTCGATCCGCATCACAACGCTGGGCTCAAAGCAAAGTAAAAAAAGCAAGGAACATGAAAAGTGGCCTCTGTTGCTTCGAATGACATCGGCTATCACCATGCGTGGGACCTGGCGTCATTTGTTCTTCCTTGAAGTTGCTCATTAACAGATTTCGCAAGGTATAGTACGCTGAGCTCACTGAGTTTGTTTACAACTTACACTCTACACTGCATAATCAATGCAAAATAGGTTCCACTGTCCAAGAGTGTTGAAATGTTTTTGATCATCACATACTACTCTAAAGACTGGCACAGCTTAATATACACCTTACCGTAGTAACATGAATTGAAACATTTTCTTCATCTAAAAACACCGGCAAATAACCACAATTCGTCCTTTGCTCAAGTACCATCAGGCGTCCTTCAGGTAGCGTACTAGGTTCATTGCTTTTCCTAATTTATATCAACTATACTTACCTAATAATTCGTCTTCACGTAGCGGACTTTTTGCGGGTGATTGTGCATTGTGCAGCAAGGTAACATGCTTCGCCGACCGTGAAATCATACAATCTGATCCTTACAATATTAGCACGTGGTGTAAACACGATTAACGAAACCTATGCTTATCATAATGCCCGACGTACGTTTTGAATAGCATAGATTTTAAACTTTTAAGTACCTTGGTCTACAGTTTCAATGCGACTTGACGTCAAAATATCGCACTGAGTTCATTAATGACTAAGCTAACCATGTGTACGGCGTAAACATACATTAAAACATTTTATTATGCGTTCTAGTCTCAAACTGGTCAGATTTTCTGTAAATTGCCACTTTTTGCACAAACCATATGTCATTTTTTAATTCACCCCTTCCCTGTGTTATTTAATGGAATGCTTTGTTGGGTGCGTTGCTTCATTCTAGAATAGATTCTAGCGCAAATGGACGAGGTACAAAAACAGTGCTCGTGCATTCTTCTCCTCTTGTGCCTTGTCCGTTTGCTCTGAAACATATTCCCTCATGTTATGACCATGATGAGAGCCTTTAGGGATAATTACAAAATGAACACCATTTCCTTTGCGCAATATTTTGTGGGAATTGTTCATTATCTAAAATAAAAGTAAATTTGATTGCGGCAATGGTCTTACAAGTCAACGAGGTTGGCGTATTGCAAATGTACAATCATACATAATGATGTACAGCCCACTGTGTAGAACACCATAAGAAACACAAACCATAACAACCGCAGATGTTTACAATTACATATAATTTTTGTCGCCTCTTTACATGATTGAAAGTGGTGGACTTCGATTTAAACGTCTTCTTAATATAAAACAAGTTTATGAATAGCACGTACTGTCAATTTCATGTGCGTTTTCAACCTGTGAACTCAGCCGGAATAGCACCCATGCAGAAGGCTGTCTCAAGCAACATGGTTAGCGTTATTTTCCCTAACGTCTCACACACAAAGCGACACTCGAACGCGACATTCCAACATGCACAATCTTCTTTGCTGCATTTATTGGAAAGGGACTTGTATTGATGAAAACTACGCCTTGCTATGCCGCAGTTTTCCCGTCACTCTGTCGAGCATACTCGTTGAAATTCTATCGCATTATTTCCTGCCACTGAAGAGGTTTTTTCTTACTTTATGGGACACCTTATGAGAACAAAAATTATTGCACCATAGATAGGTAGGTAATTAACTAGTGCTGAAGTTCGAAGAATAACATACATCACTGTCGTTGGACACTTTCCTCTAAGTACTCTGAAAATTGAGAAATTGGTATTTCGCAAGTACGCAACTATACTAACCGCACACAAATAAGAGAGGGTAGTTTTTTGTTTAAATGTTTTCTACGAGCGTTTTAATGTTCTCGCTAACAGTGGTGGGCTCTATATGGGAGACGCACAAAGTAGGTAAAATTGCTACCATTGGAGTGTTAGTGCAGAAAGGAGAGACGTTCAGTGTTTATGCCGCCTTTGCGATCGAACCCCGCCATGCTTATTAATATGAAATGTAGAGTCACGTGCAATTTATCTGCAACTTGGATTTCTGGTACTCGCAAATCGGCGTTCGAGTGCGCTTTACATTAATTAACTGTAAGTTTCCTCATGGTGCCGATGTGAACCTTGGAGGCCACTCACAAAGAACCACACAGATGAGATCTGCTCTCTGCTCTACCAGGTGCCGCGACAATTCCAGCTGGCCATAACGTTTTGAATGTACCCTATCAAGTAATTTTGATTTATTATCAGGAGAAAATCAACTTGAGCCATTGATTTATATTTTACAGCGAACGCTGTTGTGAAATCGTAACAGCAGATATTTTAGGTCACAGACAACGCCACCGTTGCTGGTATCCGTAACCACTGTCACGCGAAAAAAAGCGAATAAAATTATTGGCCTGGTGTGTGACCGATGGTGTTGCTGTGAACGACGCTTGTATGACGTCAATTTTGGGGATTCGCGCGCTTTTGTTTTGAGGCCTGGCACCGTGTAGAAACCACCGTGCTTGATACAGACCGACGAAGAAGCAGTTCAGTTGGCTATCTGATGTGTGGTGGCTTACGACGCTGTTCAAGCGACCGTGGGTATCCCCTTTTAACTCACTTTGAAAGCACAGCGCTTTGTCTTATAGAACTGCGTGTGGCCGCTTGTCTCCGCGGTGAGGGCGGCGCAATGTTAAACGTTAAAAGGCCCGTATCAATTATATTACCTGCATTATATTGCAGTTGTATTGGCCTTACCAGGCACGTCCCAAAACCACCATATGATTATGAGGGACGCTGTAGTGGAGGGCTCCGGAAATTTCGACCACCTGAGGTCTTTCAACGTACACTAAATCTGAGCCCACGGGTCTACAGCTTTTTCGCCTCCATCGAAAATGTGGCAGCGGCAGCCGAGATTCGATCTCGCGACCTGCGGGTCAGCAGTTGAGTACCTTAGCCACTAGACCACCACGGCGGGGCTTATGTTGTAATGGCAATGCAAATTTTAAAGCTGTCGAATATTTAGGGTCTCTTCTTATTAACACTATAGTTTGAAGTTTGTGGCGCCGCACTTAATTATTTTATTATTAAGTCAAGAAGGGTGGTAACTATGAATATTCAATCTTGTTCCGAGTTTTAACTAGGTTGCTAATTTAGAAACATTACGACAATGCAAAATGTGATATGAGCTCGACAGCAACTTCAGACCAGCAGTGAACATAAATTCTATGCTAGGTTACACGAAGACGTTGCCTCAACCTGCTTCACACATGTTGTTACACGCGTAGTGATTTCCTCATCCTGATTTGAACGAACAGCGAGCATTCGCCGCTTCGCCGCAGTCGATTACGACGAAGGCGTTGTGTGGCGGGTTCGCAAGCCCAATTGTTTACAAACCGAGAGCCGCGATGGTGATGCGGTCTCCGTTGACGGTCTCGACCACGAATTGAACAACGTCGCCTGCGTCGTACACCACTTGGTGCTCAATGAGACACCGCGACGTTTCACAAGCTCTATCCACATACTTGTAGATGATGGAGAAGGGCAGGATTACTGAAAAATCGAAAAACAAAACTCTACCGGAACAAATTGGTATGATCATACGGCAGGAAGTGTGAATAGCAAGCGAGAACACACACACACACACACACACACACACACACACACACACACACACACACACACACACACACACACACACACACACACACACACACACACACACACACACACACACACACACACAGACACACTTTCCTACCCACAATGCGTGGCGCACTCGTCGGCGATCCGGGGGTTATACGTCGTTCCTCTTTGTCGTCGTTCTGTTCTCGCGCTATAACTATAGTCATGTCATACCAAATAACCCAGACTGCCACACTTCTGTCGATTGGGCTGCAAATAAAACGAGACCCAAAACAGTTATTGAAGGCGTTCGTTGACCCTCGCAAGCATATTCCTTCCTCCAAGCTCGCAATGATGTTAGTTCGACGAAGCTTCCGTCTGGGGCAGACGGCAGCAGGTGGTCTGCGAACTGTTGCGTTTGGCGAGCCACCCTTTTGCCGCGGCCGCCGAAACGGAAGAAAGGCTGCCGCCTCACTTTGTGGAATGACGATAGTTATAGCGTGAAATAAAGTTTTATTCAATCAATCAAATAAAGTTTTAATCAATCAATCAATCAATAGTTATAGCGTGAGAACAAAACGACGACACAGAGACAAGATGGACATGAAGGACATGAGCGCTAACTTCCAATTGAGTTTATTGCACAGAGCGCGAAAACATATAGAGGAGACAGTAACCATGAAGATTGTTTAAAGCCTCTTGTTCATCTATTTACTCTCAATGCCGTAAGGCGTTACAGAGAGGAGGGGTACAATATTAAACAATCAAGAGAAAAGAACATCAAGAGAAAAACAATCAAGAGAAAATTGTGTTGACACATGAAATGCCCGAGAATGACAAATCACGCTTTTTGCATTTAAGACTGTTTTTAGCTCACAGCACATCTGTTGGTGTTATGAACCACGTGCACAGAAACCTCTACTTCCTTTTTCTTCCGCTCACAGCAAGTAGGTTAAGCGAGGCATAGCACGAACCTGTCTTGAGAATGCCTTAAATAGGTCGTGCGCCCACAATATCTCTGCGAGCTTGAAAGCTCCAGTTTCCCGGCTTAAGGCTTCGGGTTTCCCCGAGGCGTTTATCGCTTCCTTTGCTGAGACTATCCTGCGGACTAATAAGGCAGAGCAGAGGCAGCGACAGAATCCGAGCAACACGGATACAGATCGTGAAAGGATGACCGTGATTCCATACAAACACGAGATATCACACAGGCTCAAGAAAATTAGAAAACGAGTTGGAGTTCGTGTCCTGTTCTCGGCACCGTGCAAATTAATCAGCCTCATCAAATCTACAAACCCCCTGAAAACGCAGTCATCAACGGAATGCAGACTTCAACATAGAAACAGGTATGCGGCATGCTCCCGGGAAGTTGTCTTTAGGACCCCCTTTTATGCGGTGCTTGTTATGTCGGAACGACCAGAAGGTGTCTGAACGATCGGCTGAGAGAACACGCTAATAATGTTAGAAACGGGAAAGATGGCTTTCTTGCTCAGCACTGCACTGAGTGCAACTGTGTGCCCTTTTTCAAGGATACAGCGACGCTGTACAAGCACAAAGATGAGCGCACCCGAGTAATTGTCGAGGCCGCGCAGATGGCACGCGAACAGGTGCCTTGCATTAGCAAGCCCTCCGTGTCCCTGTCCGAGAGGGAACTAAGGTTCCTCGTAGGTTTCGGTGCGCGCAAGTAGTTATATTGTCACAAGTTGTAGTTATATTATCTTTACTTTTCTGTTTGGTTTCCTTATAGACTTTTCTTTGCCTTTTTTCTGTGCTTTGTTTTTTTTTTCTCTTACTCGTGTTCTGCTCTTTGTGCCATATGGTTTTTTGTCACATGGTTAGTGTGTCCTGTATATATTTTTGCGCTCTGCGCTATAAAATCAGTTGGAAGTTAGTGCTGGTGTCCTTCGTGTCCTTTCTTGTCTCTGTGTCGTCGTTTTGTTCTCGCGCTATAACTATAGCCATGCCGTACCAACTAGTCCAAGCTGCCACACTTTGTGGAGATGAGGAACAGCGCGAAGACACCCCGCTGTTTTTCATGCACTGGGTGGTTCGTGGTTGAAATTGCTCGCTGGAGCATGGCTGTCGCTGGGGCCGGCGCGGAAATGCAACACGTGGCGCCCCAGGAAAAGCCACAATGCCCAGTTTCCGCCAAAGACGGGCGTCGGATCACCACGCTGTGTGCGTCTCCGACTGATGAGCCGCCGCCACTCAAATCAGCGCCAGATGTCCAGCCACATGCTATCGAAGGTGCCTGGCCCACGAACGCCGTTCGACAAGCATGGGTGGTTGGCATGAGCAGCGAAGATCATACTCAATACACCCCACTTGCTGGAAGCTAGATTCGCCGAATGAGACAGCATCGCCGGGACCATACACGTGTTCAGGTTGTGTATGTGTGTATGTTGGGGGCGGTGCTGGCATAATGACCCTCAAGAGGGCTGAGGGATTTGTTATTGGACAGTGCAGTATTGACCTATTCCCCGATCTAGGAATCTGGGGAAAGAAATGTGTGTTTAATAAGCCCTCGTGGGCTGCTTCCTGTGCTTGTTCAATAGAGAGCCTTTCAATGTACAGCTTTACAATGTAGAGCTTCGGGCCAGACAGTTCTTGCCGTGTAAATATTGTAAAATAAACTCTTTTTAATGCTACCTTCCTCTTGCATCTTAGAAGTGTGGCAGCTTGGGCTAGTTGGTATGGCATGACGATAGTTATAGTGCGAGAACAGAACGATAACGTGTCCTTCTTGTCTCTGTGTCATTGTTCTGTTCTCGCGCTATAACTATCGTCTTCCTCTTGCCTCGACATCTCTGGATCTCCAGTGCCTGCTGGTCGCAACAGTACAGGAGCTGCGGCGGCTGTAGCGCGGTTGAAAGTGGACTCCTCAAGTTGACGTCACGCGAGAGGGCGCCACTACAAGATCTCGAGGTCAATACAGCAATACTTCTTTGCAGACTAGTTGGTTGATATTTGAAAACTTGACCTGCTGCGCAAGCTGAAGGAAAACGAGAAGGGAGACAGGAAAGAGCACAGGGTTCGGTGCTCTTGTAAGGTATCATATGCACTTCATTGATGCGGTGGCTTATGGCGATGAACAATTATGGCTGTGCCTTTTGTATTGTAATTAGTCGGAATCGTTACTCGATGTACTCGTTACGCAAGTCACATTGTGTGACGCCCATGATTGTTATTGTACTCTTTTAAAACGTTCCATTACACATGCTGACACAATTTTTTACCCTACCAGGAAAGAGCGCAGGGTTCGGTGCTCTTTCCTGGTCGGGTAAAAAAACGTATCAGCATGTGTAATGGAACGTTTTAAAAGAGTAAAACAACAATCATGGGCGTCACACAATGTGAATTGTGCAACGAGTATATCGAGTAACGATTCCAACTAATTACAATACAAAAGGCACAGCCATAATTCTTCGTCGCCATCAGCCACCGCATCAATGAAGTGCATATGATACCGTGTGTTGCGGGTACTTTGCTTCTCCGCACGTTACATGATAATGACGCGCTGGCTGCCTCCCTACTTCACAATATTTATGATTTATAGCGCGGTGGGTGCCATGCAAATGTGCTTACAGTATAGTTGCCCCAAGGTTATTTAAAAAAATTTGGCAACCCTGAAGCTTCGCTTTTAGGAGTTGAATGCGATAGCGAAATCCTGTCCCTATAGTGCGTATTTCGAACACTTAGTTCATGAAACCTTTTTGAGTTTGCTATGCACCCACTACGTGGTTTCAAGGGAATAAGTGCAGTAGCGTGTGTGGCTTTCGTAGTGGGGTACCGGCTTTCAACCACGGAGACATTATGATAATCGCATATTTTGACGCCCGTTGGCAATGCACACTTGTACCACGCATTATTAAGGCAATATTTCATGTCACATTGTGAAGAATATATACAGGACGCGTTGGTTTGTGAAGCATGAAAGTTACTTTCACTGCATTTCCTAGCAGTTCTTCTCACTATTTTCACAAGCAGAGACGTGGCTGTGTGGTAGAGCATCCGCTTTCCACGCAAACGTCCCGGGCTCAATCCCCATTTGGACCAAAACAACCCTGGTTGGGTCTCCACTCTGCTGTAGGCTTTCGATTTGCTGCATCGTTCTCGATTTTTCCGTCACGCGTAAGATGATTTTTCGTTCACAACCAATGACGCCGGCACCGAATCGGAATTTCTGCAAAACGAGCTCTTTAACTATCGCGTTAGAAAGGCTCTAGAAAGGCCGCGCTTCCAGCTTTCTGTGCGCTGCGTGTTTCGCGTAGGGCTGGCGTTTATTTTTAGAAGGCATTCTGGAACGGGTATTCTTGGGAGGGAAACAATACAAATGAAACTCGTGCTGCGAAAAAAATGCGTAGTTACGTAATGACCCAGAATTGCGTTTGGAGCATTCGCCAGCGGTTCACTGTTCTGTACCTGGTGCGACGCTATAGCTTGTGATGCAGTCTAGTGGGACTTTGTACAGCCTCATTGTGTTGGGTGGTCGTTACAATGCTTTCGTAGTGGTGTCATTAGCGCATATGTTACCTCACATTACAACAAGCATCGGTAGTTAGGTTGCACGAGCTCTTGCGCTCGGAAATAACTGTGTTCAAACGAAACTTGTGTCATGAAAACTGCAGAAGTGCATCTTTCAGTTACGAACAAGCACGACGCGCATGCTCTCTCTTACTAACGTAGTTGAACTATGAAGACGAATAAGAAGTGCAGAGTGCGAAAGAGAGCGGCAGTCAACGCACTCGTGTGTGCGGGCCTGCCGTACATGGTTTAAGCTTCGTTTTCATCGCTCTACTCTTGCACCGAGACTGTGTTTTTCATCACGATGTGTGGTAGAATAAAAATACAAAATGGAATGTCCTCCAGTTTTGTTTCCCGTCATCTATAACGCGACACTTAGAGAGTACAGCTAGCCGCTGAGTTTGCCCAGCGCCCCCCGGCTACTCCCACGATGGGAGTTCTATCCTGCAGGCTCGGTCGCGGGCGCAATGGGCGGCCTTTCTGAAGGTTTGGGCTGGGCACTTGACCTTGCTGCAAATCGGAACGAGCGACCCGCACTTCTAGGAGATGTGTGCTCATGCAGATGTCGTCGGGGAATTTATGCGGATAAATTGGGTGCGACTGTATAACAAAGAGCCGCGGTGAAATGTGTGGCGCAGGTGCGGAGCTTCTCCCAGCTCAAGTACGACCTGCGGGAGGTGAACACGTTCGTTCTCGAACCGGACGACGACGAGCCTCTGGTAAGGCGCAGATCTTTCCACGGAGTCCAGGACCTCGAGGACGGGAGGGAGACGGACAACGCCAGTGCCAAAGTTCTGTCGCGCTCGGAGAGCGCTCCCAGCTTAGAAGGTGGGTACGCACGATACGTTACGATTGCAACGACCGCTTTACCTCCGACGAGTTCGTGAAGCAGTGCGGAAAATGTACGACGTCCAGTTCAACTGCCCCGTCAATCGTGTAGACGGACAGCATCACCTAATCTTGATAAAGAAGCGCGACAAAAGCCTTAGCAGACTTCTCGTTCATTTGGGGCACCAGAAGTTAGAAAAAAAACTATTTTAAATATAAGCGAAAATGATTCGTGACATTTGTTCGTAACATAAAAAACCACTGCTAAACAGAGGCCGTAGCAGTTTGCATTGGACACGACAGATTAATGCGTGATTCACAATGCGCTACGAGGCCCAAATGCTGACGGATGGCGTGGCTGAAAAAGGAGCTGCAAGAAATGTTGGATTATCCATTCTTCTGTTTCTCAATTTGCTCAGTGATGTTATGTACTACGCCGAAGAATTCCCATTCAGAGACATAAAAATTCTCTATTGTAGGAATTTTCCCTGCAAAGGCTGACGAAATTCCTAGCATATTTCCCTGCACAACAGTAGTACTTTCCGCTCCATTCAAGCACGCACATATTATAATTACACATAGCTCACGTACCGGTAACTTTTCAAATCCTAACTGGCTCCTCCACTGCCGCACAGCAAAAGCATGACTTTATCAATTCATATACTGTTAGCACACTGGGCATTGTGGGCTTCAAGTGTAACGCAAATAGTGAACTAGAAATCACTCCGCGTAAATATCAGAAACAAGCGTCAAAGGCTATGTTTGCGTGGTGCATGCGCCAGAATTGATTACAGAAGATGAAGGTGCGCTGAGGCCGTTGATTATCAGTCATCATAGAAGAACTTGACCATTCCTGAAATTCTATGCAGTATCAAGAAGATACCTTTTTTTTCCTTTGCTTCAAAATGACAGGCGAGAATCCCTAAAAAAAAACTCCCTGCATGGAACCTCACTGCATTTGCTTCTCCAATGACTATTGCCCCAAAAGAAAACGAAACATTCAAACTCTGAACGGATTACCGGGCACTTAATCACCAAACAGAAGTGATACCCTACTCAATGCCGAGGATCGACGATATTATCGACGAGACTAGTGGTTGCCATTGTTAATCAACAAATAGACCTTTGTATGGGGTTTCGGCAAATCCCACTTACAGAAAAAACGAAAAATTGGCAGATCCCACGTACAATGGGAATCGATGATATGTGAAGCACGAATACCGAAGGTTGATATGTCACTTTAAAATCAGCACAACGTTTCGAGGAAGACGTCAATTTTGCCGTACATGACTTCCATGTCATGATTATTATACTTTGACGTGTCATTTACATTCGCCATCTATTCACATCACGCTATGCCAAATTTTGTATATGTGGACCTAGCCAAACGGCCACGAGCGTGCTACGAGCGCAGCAAGTAGTCATGTGCTACATTCATGTCATGATTATTATGTTTGAACGTGTCATTTACCTTCTTCGTCAACTCACGTCACGTGATACTAAATATGGTATATGTTGACTCATTGAAACAACCTCGAGCGTGCTTACAGCCTAGAATGTAGTCATATTACATAACACGCATATCATAATTATCATGTTTGGACGGCTCATTTACCTTCGCCGTTCATCCACGTCACGTAATACTAAATTTGGTATATGTGGAACTAGCAAAACCACCGCGAGCACGCTACATGAGCGTAGCATGTATTCATGTTTTACATGACATAAATAATATGATCATCACGTTTGGACAAGTGATTTATCTTCGTCGTCTATTCAAGTCGCGTGACCCCAATTCGGTATATGTGGAGCTAGCGAAACGGCAGCGTGCACATCATGAGCGTGGCATGTAGTCATGTTGTTACATGACACGCATCTCATGATTTTCTCGCTCGCACCAGACAAATACCTTCGTCATCCATCTACGTCCCGTTATACCAAATTTGGTATATGTGAAGCTAGCGAAACAGCCACGAGCGTATAATCATGTTGTCATGTTCTTACATGACACGCATGTCATGATTATCATGTTTGCACCAGTTATATACCTCCGTCATTCATTGATGTCACGTAACACCAAAATTGGTATAAGTATGAGGCTAGCAAAACCACCACGAGCACACTATGAGCTTAGCATGTAGTCATGTTTTACATGACACACATGAGATCATTATCATGTTTGGACGTGTCATTTACCTCCATCATCCATTCGCGTCACGTATTACCAAATTTGGTATGTGAAGCTAGCGAATTGGCCGCGAGCGCATCATGAGCTTGGCATGTAGTCATGTTGTTACATGACACGCGTACCATGACTATCCTGTTAGGGTCTGTCGCTTGTGTTTGCCATGCAGTCATGCATGGCAAACACAAGCGACACACCAGTTTTGCAAGGTGTCATGTTTACGAAACCATCGCAAGAGCAGCAAGACCATGAAATATGAATCATGTCATTCATGACATGCATTTTCTGATTTTCATGTTATGACTTGTCATTTATGCTCGCCATACAGTCATGTTATGCCATACCAATTTTGGTATTGATAACATTAATAAAACGACCAGGAGAGCTAAAAGTCATAGATAGATAGATAGATAGATAGATAGATAGATAGATAGATAGATAGATAGATAGATAGATAGATAGATAGATAGATAGATAGATAGATAGATAGATAGATAGATAGATAGATAGATAAGACAGGACAGACAGACAGACAGACAGACAGACAGACAGACAGACAGACAGACAGAGACAGACAGAGAGACAGATAGATAGATAGATAGATAGATAGATAGATAGATAGATAGATAGATAGATAGATAGATAGATAGATAGATAGATAGATAGATAGATAGATAGATAGATAGATAGATAGATAGATACGCTTGAATTCGCCGAAGTTTGCTAAGAAAAGTTTCGCACTTAAAAGTACACCGCATTTATAACCCCTTTTGCCTTATTTCAATACAACCACTTACCGTTTGGTTGGAAATATTCTCCGGCATGGTTTCAGAAAACCTATTACTAATATTCTTAATTGGTTGTATTCTGCAACGTCTACATTGATGACGTCATCGTGTATTCAAATGCAGAAGAGTAACACCGGGGTCATCTTTCAAAAGTTGTTCATGCTTTGAGCCTTTCACAACTCAGAGTCACTTTCAAGAAAAGCGCTCTTTTTGATGACAAAGTTGTATTTCTCGGAAGGGTGTTCAACGGGCGTATCAAAAGTACGAAACGGGAATTAGTAGAAAGAATTTATCAGCTGGCGAAACCTTATGATGTGCACTCTCTGTGGGTTTTCCGTGGCCTGGCAGGACACTTCAGAGCCTTTATCAAAGACTACGCGCTCAAGACACGATGCCTTACACGCTTAGAAAAACGCACATTTCCATTGGAAGGGGGGGTGCGAATCTGTTTATTCTGAGCTTGTAAAGTTAATATCATCAGATATCAACCTGCGCATAGGGGAAGTTTTTCTGCCTTTTATACTGAATACGGATGCATCACACTACGCAACCAGTGCAGTTTGTATCAGAAACCCTCAAAACAGGTCGATCTATCGAAGTGTTTCGTGGTGGGATATTACAGATGCAAGCTGAAGGCAGCTGCAATTATTCTACTACAGAAAAAGAAGCGCTGGACGTCTTAAAACACTTAATTATTTCAGAACTTACCTTGAAGGGGCTAAGTTCAAGCTATTCAAGGACCATCAGGCCTTGACAAAACTTTTGAATATGGCACAACCAGGAAGACACATTGCTAGGTGGGTCAACTATCTCCAGCAATTTCATTTCACCGTTGCTGATGCTATGGCTGGTTTTCGACGAGATCGGTACTCAGTTGATAGCGTTATCGACTTAGTGACCTCTGTTCAGCATCAGAAAGCTCAGAAGCGGCTGTCGGTAGCTCTGTTCTTAGACGTGAAGGGTGCCTATGACAATGTGACCCACGAGGCTGTTCTCAATGCTCTTGAAGCAGCTGAACTTGGAGGTCGTGTCTTTCGATGGGTAAGAAGCTACCTCACAAAGAGATCCATGTTCGTTTTAACTGAAGATGGGTCTACGAATAAGTATTTCACAATTCGTGGGGTGCCACAAGGCGGGGTTTTGAGTCCAACACTTTTCAACCTGGTTCTCGTGGGGCTCACCGAAATGCTGCCACAGACGGCTTATATATCTCTCTACGCTGACGATATCTGCATTTTGGCGTCCGGCGTGACACGGCCTCAAGTGCGCGCAAGAATACAGAAAGCGGCAACAATGACATCGACATACCTTCGCCAGCAAGGTTTGACTATCGCCACAGAAAAATGCGCAGCGGTGGCGTTTACACGCAAACCGATGTCTTTCTACTCATTGTGCATCGATGGCAGATCAATCCCATATAAGAGCACTCATAGATTCTTAGGCGTCATCGTAGATCGTGACCTAACCTGGAGCCCGCATGTCACATACCTGAAGAAAAAGCTCAGTGGCATTGAGAATGTATTCAAGTTCGTCGCCGGAAAATCATGGGGCCCATCCGTGCACTCCATGTTGCAGCTTTACACAGCCCTCTTTCTCGGAACTCTCCGGTACAGCCTTCCAGTCCTGTCCAACACGTGCAAAACTAACATCCGTGCACTGCAAAGCGTACAAGCCCAAGCACTTCGGACATGCCTTGGCCTTCCAAGATGCTCATCGACAGTGTCAACTATTGTTATTGCACAAGAACAACCGGTCACAACGCACATCATTGTCGAGACGCTGAGAGCGCATATTCGGCATTTATCACAGCTACCGTCACATCATTTAGCGTCTTTGACAGCTCGGAGGCCCCATTCTTCGTACTGCGGTATCGTGACAATACATCAGGACATACTACCGCCTGGCTTCAAACTTGCGATGCATCCAGCAACTGCGCCATGGAGTCTTCGTCAACCTGACGTGCACTTATCAGTTCCTGGAATCTTTAAGAAGGCACGCATGTCAACGCTAGCCCTGAAGCAATTGAC